TGAACATTGATTGAATATTTTTTTGGTTTCCTCGGGTTGGTTCTTCCCGTTCGTTTGTTGTCCTCTTTTGCTTGGGCCATTCTCTGACCTAATTGTTCTTTATCCTTGTGCTTGTCATAAATCTTGTTGTATTCTTTTTCTGCTTTAGTTTTTTCTTTGTCTGTTTTTGCGGTGGTGAGTTTCCTGATTAAATTGTCTGCTGTGGTGAAGTGGGCGATCTTACGATCTGAATATAAGTTAATTATATTTTGAACTTTTGTTCTGGTGGCTTGGCTGATGCGGTTTCTTCTGTTGTTATAAAATGTTTGTAGTGCTTCCGTATTACGCTTAATGGCTTTGGACATATACTAATATAATTAAACTATATATTTATTTTCTTTTTAAGTATAAATTTTCTAAGGATTTTTTAAAATACTAAATGTTTTTTTAATATATAGAAATATGTCTAAAGATAAAAAATAATATATAGTATAGTATAATATGAGTAAAAATCCCGAGGATATGACAATGGATGAAATCAAAGAGCAACTCGCCATATACAGCAGATTGTATTACAACAAGCGCAGAAATGATGAAAAATATATGCAAAAGAAACGAGAATCTGCACTACGACACAATCAGAGAAAGAAGATCAAGGAGTATGAAGAAGCTAACAATATCAAACTGAACCCCGATGAGTTGACAGAAGAATTGCTATATGAAATAATGAATGCAAAAAAGCCCTTTAAAGCAAAGCACGGCACACCCAAATATGATATGAGCAAGTTCAAGATCATAAAGCCGATGCATGACGAATGATGATTTAATCTAGTTATTAAATCATCATTTAAAGAAAAGATAACTAAGGATAAGTAGGGAGATGAACAAATATCAGAATGGAAAAATCTACAAAATTGTTGATGTTGGGTATAACAAGTGCTACATCGGATCTACTTGCGAAGAACTGAGCCAACGAATGGCAAGACACAGGGCCATTTACAAGCAGTTCGCAAAAGGCAAGAAAACAAGTTATTTATCGGCGTTTGACTTGTTTGATGAGTTTGGTTTGGACAACTGTAAGATTGTACTATTGGAGGCCGTCGCAGTAAACAACAGGGACGAGTTAAGACAACACGAAGGAAAACACATTCAGATCAACGACTGTATCAACAAACGGATAGCTGGTAGAACTGATGAGCAATATTATCAAGACAACAAAGATATAATCAATGAGCGACACCAACAACATTATCATTTACATAGAGAAGCAATATGTCTCAAGCACCGAGAATATTACGAAGGAAATAGAACCAAAGTCCTGAATAATCAAGCTCAAAGGGTGTTGTGCGAATGTGGGTCAGAACATAGGAAAGGAGACAAAGCCAAACATCTAAGGACAAAAAAACATTTGGAGTATGTCTGCGCGAAGTCTGAAGAGCAAAAATAATATCATCTTTATTATAATGAGTAGTTCTAATAAAGATGATATAATTAGCAAGGTTTATTACGATAGAAGCGGTTTCGGTAGTAAGAATCGCACATTAGAAGAAGCACGGGAGAAAGACAAAACCATCACAATGTCTGACATCAATGAGTTTTTTAGAAAGAATGTTGAGCAGAAGCGTAAACCTGTTGGTTCCAATAGCTTTGTCGCTCCTCATTCGGGATGGGAGTATCAGATGGACTTGTTCTTTATAAATGATTTGGAGAACCAAAAATTTAGAGTAGGGATGTTAATGATTGATATATTTGATAAGTTCTTGCATGTCGTGGCTATTAAAGGCAAGAAGGAAGAAGATTTAGCGAGTGGGATGATTGAATGCTTACATAAAATGGGACAGAAGCCGAAGATGATTTTTACCGATGATGAACCCGCCATGAACACGGAGGCAATACAAAAGTATTTACAGGAACAGAACATAGAACACTATAGAACTAGGGCACACGCAAATTTCGGCGAAAGGGCCATTAGGACGTTCAAACATTTATTATATCAGCGTGTTGAAGCCGATCAGAAAAAGGGTAAAAACAATATTCAGTGGACGGAATATATTTTTGAAATATTATTATCATATAACAATAAAATGAAACATTCTGCGACTGGCTTCACCCCAAAGGATGCCAGAAAACCCAGTAACGAATTAAAAGTTAAACTGCACTTAAATATGAATGCTAAAAGAAATCGGGTCTATCCTGAATTAAGTGTTGGTGATGAAGTTAAAATATTTAGGAAGAGGAAACCCAATGAAAAACGTGTATCAAATTGGTCGCAAAATATTTATACCATAGAAAGAATTGATGAAAAATTGGGTCAAAAATATTATTATGTTGAAGGAAATAATAGGGCTTATTTACGCTTTGAGTTGTTAAAGATGTAGTGTTGACTTAGATTGAAGTTGCAGGGGCTTTCACAACTTGAGTTGTGAGTTGCTCTACGATTAGGAACTTGGAGCTGTAAGTTGTGTTGCAACTAGCAACTTGAAGTTGTAATTTGCTTTGCAACTAGCAACTTGTAGTGGTCAGTGGGTTCGCTGCTTGTGGGTTGGAGTGATGGCCTTGGTTCGTGATTCTTTGCGACTTTCGCTTTTCAATTTTACCTGTTGTGTGAGTCAAAGAGTTTCTGCTTGCGCTTCGGGTGGTCCAAGAGAACTGGCTGACTTGCATCGTGCGACTTCAGATTCATTGTCTGTTTGAGCCATAAGCAAGCATACCTGCAAGTGTTCCGAGCTTCGAGTTTTCCGTAAATGCCATGAGTGCCGCGGAAGGAGGTCCTGTTTTGAAGAAGCGAAGGCTTTTGGAGGTTGCGCAAGATGACTTGCGTGCATGGCTGGGTGCGCAAGTGGAAGGACTGTGCACGGAGGAGCAGAAGATGGCAATTCAGGAGCTCTTCGGTGATTACGAGACGTCAGAGTTGCAGGGCACCCAAGTCGATTTCCTTGACCATGCACTGCGTGAAATTATTCCCGACAAGAACAACGGTTGCGGATAGTGTCAGCGCTGCACAGCGCAAAGAGCCTTGCTCCACCGACACCTGCCCCTCGGCACTAGCGTAAACCCCTGCTGATGTAGGTTTGTAGTCTATCTCGTTTTACTCGTAAGCTTCCCCGATAGCCTTGGTTGATTACCTTACTTATTGGGTTTAGGGGTTGGCTCTGTGGTTGTAGCGTAGTTGTTTATTCCCCCTAGGTTTGGTTTCCTCGTAGGGTTTCCCGATTGGGTTAGTTGATTGGGTTGCTTAGTCGGGCTTAGGGGGTTGGGTGTTTTTAGTTTAGTGCGTTTAGGGTTTAGGGGTTGTTTTTTTTTTTTTTCTCTGTTTTCGTCCTCGGGTGTGAGAGAGGCCGGTCGAATGGGTTAGTTGTTGGCTTTAGTGCCTGGCGAGTTTCCAAATCTCGTCAGAGGTCCAGAATGATGGCGTGATGGTCGATCGTGCGTTCTATGAGAGCAGCATCTTCATGCATCAGGCATTGAAGGATCCCAATCTCAGCGTTTTCGCTCAGACTACCGGCCAGGGAACTGAAGGCATTCCAAAGCAAGTGAAAGCCAATACCAGGAAGACGTATGGCAACAGATGCGCGTTCTGTGGCTTGTCAGAAACTGTTCTTACATCGGACAAGAAGCCTCGCAAACTTTCTTGCGCCCACCTGTCACCACACGTCAAAAATTTCAATCAGGGCTTCCGGGGCGAGTTTCAAGTGACCTCCGAGCGCAACTTTCTATTGCTTTGTGGATCTCGTGGCAAGACCGGTTCTTGCCACGATGGCTTCGATTCTCACCGTCTCGCGCTTTTACCAGCTTGCTTGGAGCGAAAGTGGACACTGCTCAGTTGCTACAGTTCCGGACAATTCAGAACAGAAGAGGGCAACGTGCCACAACAGCACCGGCCAGCATTTCAGGAGTTTACCGAGCACATGCTGTATAACCGTGTGCTCGCGACACGTTTGCACAGGTTCTATGTGGAGAATGCAAAAAGCTGCGACAAGATGCCGAACTTCGGGGCTATGGTCAGTGGGGTCAGAGATGTTTCGTTGGCTGAGAGCCGCAGAGGGACGAGGGAGGGAACGTCGACAGTGTCATGCGATGATTGCGGTGCATCCGCACTTCCTTTTTCCGTATCGGCTTCGGGATCACAGCAGCAGCAAGTCGGCGAGACTCCTATGTTTCAGACCTCAGGTCCTGTGGTGGTGCCACCGCGTTGGCCAAAGCCAAGGGTGGTTCCGGCGCGACGAAACCCCCAATAAGGTGGGATGGCGATGTGCAGTCGTCGCCAAAGTGACCTCTAGAGCCGCTGAGCAGAGACGTGAAAAAGTAGCCAAAAGAGCCGCCCCTTCAAACGATTCTAGACTTTCTGATCAACAGTTCTTTTGAAGTGTGCATCTCCATAGCGGTATAATCCTAGCTTAGTGGGTGGGCTGCGATGGAACTTATGAACATACAACCCTTAACCCTAAACCCTGAACCAAATCCTACGAGACCCCCCTTGCCCCTTTTGAGTAATAATGCCACCTTAGAAATAATAGATGGGGTTATGGTTATTCCTAGAAGTGTGTTGATAATGGGGTAGTAGTAGTGATATATCGGTGAAATTCAGGGGGGAGTGTAGGAATGATCATCTAATGGGGGTAGTAGTAGTGATTTATCGGTGAAATGTAGGGGGGAGTATAGGAATGATCATCTAATGGGGGTAGTAGTTGTGATTTATCGGTGATGTGTAGTGGGGAGTATAGGAATGATCATCTAATGGGGAAGTAGTAGTGATATGTGGGTGATGTGTAGGGGGGAGTATAGGAATAATTATCTAATGGGGGTAGTAGTAGTGATATGTGGGTGAATTGTAGGGGGGAGTATAGGGATAATTATCTAATGGGTTAGCGGTGGCATTCTTACCCAAACTGGGCAAGGTCTACTCTGACTGTTTCAGCCTTCTGCCTTTGCAGCTCTCGCTAAGGTTCCCATGAGCCCTAAAGTCCTTACAGGCCCTGAAACCCGGCTGGCACAATCCCCAAGCCCAAGCCTCAACGGAGGAGTCAACGTTGGCCTGCAGCCTTGCATGCACTTCGGACCCTGCGGCAGCGAGCCTTGGAAAAAGAAATCAGAGCGTCGGAGCCATTATGTAGCTCTAGTACTGTTCTCGAAAATGCTTACGAGGCCGTGTTACCTGTAGTACAGTGTAGTATCGCATCAAGCAGCACGAGATACTGTGCCCCAAACCTGTCGGAATTACTCCGGTGCCGAACGACCCAATTCAGATGTTTAAACCGAGTGCTGGATACCTCCCGCTGCTATATACGCTGGCTTTGTCGGTCTCGTACCGGACGCTTTCCACGCTGAGCCACTACAAAGGGCTTTTGAGAGGTTTACGGGTTGGATCTGATTGTTGGAGGCTGCTTTCTTCAGGGCTTGAGAGTGTGTTGAAGTGCATTTCCGGACCGGAATTTGTAGTGGCTTACTGTTAGATCGAATTTTCTCGAGAATGTTCCTTTGGCTCGTCATTTCTTCTAGTCTGCAGACACCTGCTGCCAACGTCACTCTTAGGTAAAGCGTGCATTGCGTCTTTTCCTCATAGTCTTCATGTTCTCGTCGTCTCCTTATGGCCAAGAACAGACTTGCTATGTTTTCCAGTCTTCAGTTTGTTGTTTTGCGGGCCTATAGTTTTTTGATCTTGAGTTTTTCAGATCTCAAGGATCATAGGACAAGATTTCGGGGGAACTGGTCGGTTTCAACTTGTTGGAATTCATGCCTGGTCGGCCTTAGCTTGCAACACAGTACTTGCCCCGCCAGCGTGCAAAGTAACCATAAAATCTCTCGTTGCATGAATACCAGGACTTGCACGACTCGTGGTAGCAGTAGTGGAGAGTTTATAGCGCGCTCTTGGCACTTGCTCAGTAGCTCAACAGTGAATTAAATATGTTATTGACAGGATCAGCCACAATCGCAACGTTAGTTCAGCCTCAACAACGATTTCAAGTCGCTGCACGAATGCTCCTGGTAGCCATGCTCACAGTAGGCAACAGAAGCGCCACAGTCATCAGAGCAGTACAGATCTGGACCACATCCGCAGCAGTCCAGCCTGCATGGTTATCTGCACATTATCGACTCAGGACGGCTGCAAGCAGACGTGTACCTCGGCTGCAGACTTACTCGGCGAGTTGCCCAAGGTTTAAAGCACGATGCACGTTTCAGGTTTGCCGGAGCTGCAAACGGCCCGATCCGGGGGTTAGCCGAAACTTAAGCTTGGCAGTTTCGACACCTGAGGCCGGTAAGTTTCGAGGTTTCATATTGTGGCTAAACTCCCAAAACCCCGAAAACCACAAGTCGACACTCCCCAACAAGTTCGCAGTGTAGGGCTTCGGGACTGAGGGTACAATTCAGGATGCATGTCCTGACTTCCACACTCTTCAGGATCTGCTTCACCACGTTGCTGTCTGCAGTGCAACGAAGTGCGCAGTGGCGGCTGGCGCTGACGGTGCTAGCAGACATGGCAAGGAGCGCCTCCTTGGTTTCGGGGTCGCCAACAAGCCGCCCAAGCCCAAACCCGGAACGGTTTTTGCTTGCGTTTTCAGCCTCCCGGCAATGGCAGAGTTGGAGGCCGGAAAGCAGGCTCGTTTTTAGTGAGCTTTCAAGCCGTTGCTGAGCAACCCTAGATGCTACACTCGCACGACATTCTCCGGCCCTAAGCGCAATCAAAATTAGTCCTTCTGTGCGCCACCAGCCTGCGGAGACAGTGGCATTGTCACGGTAGACCATGCTGAATGTAGATGTCATGTAACTGAAGCAATACTGTCGCCGTTTCTCCCCCTTTGGAAATGGTCCATTGGTCATTATCAGCTTGTCATTAACACTTCCGTAAACAACAGGAAGAGCCGACCGAACATCTTGAACCTTAAGACTTCAGCCTCGCTTCTTCAGGGTGAAGGGGCTCTGCATCTGCAGTTTTTTTTTGTAGACGGCTCAGCCGCGAACGCAGTCCATGGGGGCCGAACCTGACCAGGACCCGGGCGCAACCCGACCTCATTTGTGACTTGGGCTGCAGCATGCTGCAAGCCCTGAAAGTTGTTTTGCTGAGCGTCCTAGAAGTGCCGTCCTAGTTGGAGATGGGATTGGGGTACCGTGCTTCATAGTGCGATGGGCTCGGGAGAGCACCCTGAGTGTTGATAACTACGCTAGAGACTCCGGCAGCATAGTACAACAACATCATCAGTACCGAGGAACAGCAACTGCAACAGCAGCAGCAGCAGCTGCAGCAGCAGCAGCAGCAATGACAGCGGTGGCAGCAGTGGTGGCGGCGAAGCTCCTCCTCCTCCTCCTTTTCCTCCTCCTCCTCCTCCTCCCGGTGTTCATTGCCTTTGACTACCTTCATTGCTATCACCAGCATGGTCATGATCGCCGTGGATCATTGCGCTTATTGTTCAACATTTACCGTGCTAATGCGTTGACGTCGTACCCGAAGTAGCACGCCCAGACAGGCCACAATGCGGCACTGGCAGCTTGTCAGGAGGGCCCCTGGCAGTTGGCCGATACTTGGATGAATGAGAATCTTACGTTGGATTCGCCCCAGGCCCCACGCCGATTCTCGATGTTCTTTCCGGATCGTCTGAATCAGTTGAAGGTCAAGAACTCCAGACGTTCGGAGTTCATGGGCCAAGGTTCTGGGTTGTGGGTGCCTGTGGGTGCAGGGGCTCTGGAGCCTCGACAGTCTGACGTGCGCTCTTCCGCTTGAGGTGGCAGCTCTTGACGACCTTTGGAGCAGCAACCTCTGTCCAGATATTGTCAGCTACTTGGGCAGCAAGCTTTTTCTGCTGCAGTCGCTTCACACAATCCCCAAACTACCACAACTATTCAAAATCAACTTGTTTACTCAACGGCACGTGGAACCTTAGGATGTTGCGGTTACTGCACGTGGCGACCGAGGAAACCTGTCGGAAGATGTAGAGATACAGCAGTTCTAGGTAAGCATTGTGCTGAGAGAACGTTAGATGCATGTAGAAGGAACGACGGCGGAAGCACTCGAAACCTCATCAGCAGTCATCGCAGCGACAGGATTTCGAACACTGCCAAGTGTGAAGCTTTTGGATAGCTAAGAACAGATGAGGTTTGGGGGAGTTCAGCAGACAGCTTGGGCCCAACCCGAATGCCAAGGCCAAAGGACCCCTAAAACCTCAGTTCTAGACCTTCAAGTCTATACCAGGACCATAAGCCCTGTTTCTGCAGTTCCAAACCTCTTAGACGTGCATGTATATACATATATATACATATATATACATATATATATATATACATATATATATATATATATATAAATGATAAAAAAAGAGGCTTCAACACGGCGATCACGGCCTGCCTGCGGAACGAGCAGTGGCAGATGGGGCTTTCTTTCCTGGAGGTCGGGTCGCAGGTCAGAACGTAATCTTTCGTGTTTAGGGTCGGGGATGTAGGAGGTCCTGGGTCTGGATTTGGGGTTTTTTGGCTGGGTCAGCATCTTCATGTAGCCCTCAACCAAGCCCTCAGCCGCGTACCCACCGAGATCCGATGTCTATCGAACTCCGTAAAGCAACTCAGACCCCCAGAGGTCAAAAGTGTGCCAAGCCCGAAGCGCCAAACCCTGCCGGTAGTAAATCATACGTTCCGCCCGCTCTAATTCCGAAATCGTGATATCCTTGAAGCCTTGAATTCTTCGTCCCTGAAGCCTTAAGTTCCGACAAAACTGAAGGTCCTGGCAGACAGGGGTCTCAAGCCGAGACGGGGCAGCAGCACATCATCACCGAGGGTTCGAGGGCTCCGGTTGAAGACCACAACTGCCGGCAGCATTAGTCGCAGTCGCAGGAGAATACTATGACAGTGACAGCAGTGATGGAAGCCATAGCAGCAAAACTAATCATGACGGTACTGGTTTGACAACCCGAAGAGGCTTGTGAGTGGTAGTCGTAAATGCTGCGAAAATGCCACCGTCGGAAATAGCCAGAATGTCCACCAGCACTCATGTCGACGGTTGCATTCACACTCATAGCGATGATGCTCGTGACCGTCGTGATGTTGCCATGCGGACGGATGTTGACTCTGCTAATGCAAGTACTTGACGTGACGGCTTTGAGATGCTGTGAGAATCTTGCTGTGGCTGATACGGGAGTGCTTTCCAAGTTTCCAAGATGTCCACCGTTGATTTGATATCGGGTTGTGTGTTCACTGTCGGGTTGGGGCAGTACTCTGGTGTTGTGTTGTCGCAGTATCGTGGTGCCAGCGCAATTTTCCATGGTTGCTGCTGTTCTTGTCGGTATTTTTGTTCTAAAGCTGTCTGTGTTCTCATGCTGCTGCTTCTGACATACTGCAGCTGCTGCTGCTGCTGCTGCTGCTCGGCCCTCCCTCTGATGCCGTTGATGCTATTCATCACCAGCTGCTGCTGATGCCTCTGCCGCTTGTACTGGTAGTACACTGCAGCAAAGCAACAGCTACTAGTAACTAGTATCGCCACGGCAGTGACAACGACAAACACAACTGTCACTATCGGTACCACGACCACCACACCTACCGGTACTTCTGCCAGTGCTAGTGCCACTGTTGCTGCCACTGCCACTGCTACTGCTATCAGCAGATGCTCAAGCCAAGAGCGGAAGTCAGGAAGCCGCATGCTAATTGTTGACTCTTGAAGCCGTCTTGAAGTCAGAAGCTTAGAGCCAGACCCCAAACCCAATTGATTAGCTGAAAAAAGCTTACTAAACCGCCTTTATTTATCTCAGACATGCCGATGATGGTGTGATGATGATCGAAGACGCTGCTGCTGATGCTCGTAGTGGCACAGGGCATCATGGTTACAACGATAGCGGGGCGCTTCTTAGCACCAACTGATGCAATAGAACATGTCCTTTCTACGTTTCCATGGGGCAGAGCACATTTGGGGAGTTTCGAGAATCCGAGGAGCTCCGCCACGTTCGATGCCGCCACGAGCGCTTGTGAGAAGGGGACAAGGCGAGGACAGTTGCTTCACGAGTCGCGGGTGAAGGGATGAGGGACCATGCTTCGTAGTTAGGGTTTGCTTTCGTTGTTTAATGTGTCTGAAACCCGCCCTTGAAGAAGTTTTCCTCATGCCGTTGAGGAAGCAGGCTGGGTCTGGGCTGGCAATTGTTGAAACGGGTTTGCTGCGCGTCACTCAATGCCGACATAGCATCAGCATGGTCACAGTCAGGTGGCTGGAAGCGTTGGCGTTTCTGCGGGCGCGCTGGTCGCAGGAGTCGGAGGTCTCCGGCGGCTTTAGCATCCCGGCTCCTTAGGGATCAGGACTGACGACCTGAGTCGGATTTCGGTTTCACGGCTTCGGATGTGCAAACGGTCTCAGGATAGAGGGAGACTTGGCGAACGCAATAAAGGGGGGGCCGTACACTGCGGTCGCTCTGAACGAAGATGCCTTAGGTCCTCGTTACGGATGCTGTGATTGCTCGGACTCTCGTGTAGAACCTTAGCTTCAGGTTCCCATACGAGGGACACATAAGTCTGATGCCCAGAAGAGACCACATCGTTGCCCCAGAAGCAATGCTGACAACTTATGCTAAGTCACTCCGAATCCAAGGAGCACCTACCTTGAGAAGAGTGCTTAGAACCATTTTAATGCGGTCAAATGAATGAGAACAAGAACAAGATGAAGAGGAACAGCGTGCTTGCACGAGAAGAAGAAGTAACTAGCACCCGGACATCCGGCAAGTGAGTTTGTCTCGTGCCACTGGCTCAAGATGAAGGCGAGATAAGTCACCTAACCTATGAACATGTGAAACATGACGACAGCTGAAGTAGCAGCAGCAACAACAACAGTCAAAACAGCAGCAACAGCAGCGACAACGGCAACAACAAAAGCAAAGCAACAGCAACGTCAACGGCAACGGCACCGGCACCGATACTGAAAGGCACCGGCAGCAGCAGCAATAGCAACAGCAACAGCAACAGCAACAGCAAGAGCAAGAGCAAGAGCAAGAGCAAGAGCAACACAGCAGCAGCAGCCGCAGCAGCCGCAGCAGCAGCAGCAGCAACAGCAGCAGCAGCAGCAATAACAGCAGCAATAACAGCAGCAAGAACAACAGCAGCAGCAACAACAACACCAGCAGCAGCAACAACAACACCAGCAGCAGCAACAGCAACATCAACAACAACAGCCACATCAAGAGCAACAACGCCATTCATTCACACGCAGCGGGAGGATACTGTCTGAGGTGAAACTTGACATCCACGCTTTGCGAGGGGTCGACCTGCTGCTCTGCTTACTACTTGCGCGGTCACTTCATGACGAGCCGTGCCTTAACACAGCACTCGCACACGCTCCGCCCCTCAAGGCTGCAAGCAATGAAGTTGGAATCGGACGTGTCGTCAGTGACTCGAGCTGCAGACTCTGGCACTAATGAGCGAGTTTACTGGCTGGTTGGCAATGTATCTCTGACTGATTGGCGACTTCCATTTTGCACACTGCTGTCTCGCAAGAATGTCTAGCCTCGCTGTGAAGGCTCGGTACGAACCACTAGCTCTATGTTATAGTAAAGGCGGTGAGGCAATGAAACACTCAGTAAAGGCAGGCCAGGCGCCGCTTCCAGCCCGTTGTTGACATTTGTAGGTGGCGGAGCAACTCCTGCCGGACCTGTGCTGGTGACATGAAGCTCTCCTGTCCCTGGATGGGAGATCGTTGAGGTCACAGCCTTTGGCGGTGGTCCCAGGGGAGAAACTCCTCCCGGGACTCCACCTTTCGCTGGCACTCCTGGTGCCTTACCTGGTCCCGGTGTCCGATCTGTGCTAGATCCACTTCCTGACAGGTTAACAGGCATCGGAGGCGGCGGGCCCTTAGGGCCTGCTGCTTTGGGGGCTGCTGTGGGAGCTGCTGTGTCTTCAGAGTCAGACTCCCGAATGGAGTCACTGGCTGGCGGCGACCTGGATATATGGGGACGACGACGCACTGGTGGAGGGGTTCGAGAGGTCGCTCTGTTGCCACTCTTCTTCGGTGTTTCAGGCATGGCTTCTACACTCAAGACAGCTGGCGAGTTGAGCCTGTACGAGGAGGCAAGTGGAGCTTCCAGAAGACTTTTGGCTGACAACTCACTTGCAGATCCGGGCCCACGACTTCGCACGGAGCTTCTCATGCGACCTCGGGGTATACTTGCTGTCTGGTGATGAAATTGATGTGACCGTCGGCCTCATAACACAGATTTTTTGCGTGAGCAGCTGCATTATCTGTTTGGGGAGGGACTCCACCGTTAGGTGAGGGTCATCACGATCAGAGCGGCCTGTTGTCGCCTCCGTACTTAGTACCTGATTTCAGGCTCTGGTAGTACTCTATGACAGAAGGGGGCACTTCAGAGGGGGTGAGAATGACGCCGTTCTTGCTACGGAAAAATTGCACCCCTACCTGCATGGCTCTGCGTGGATCGACCGCCACCAGCATCGACGAGCTATCTCTGATTCCAGAAACACCAGGTCTCCCATAGTCCTGATCCGAGACGAAGTGAACATGCTGTCGTCCCTCTCTGCCACGTCCACCTTTGCCGCGACCCTTGGAAATCTTTTTCTGAGGCAAAAGGCCTCGTTGGCGTATGGAGTCATACAGGGACCAGAACGTGCCATGATACAGCATTCTGGGGAGCATCTCCTCCGTGAGTTCCTCCAACACTTCGTTGGAGTCCACATCAGAGCGAGAATGTCCTTGCAGAGCCCTGATGTACTTCTGGCCTTGGCAATCGCCCAGCTCGTACCTGCCTTTTTCGTTACTCCGAACGACCTCCAGGAGGTCGCCTGCCGTGGCGTGCTGGGCCTGCACTCTTGGCCATCTCAGGACGTCCTCTAATTTGGCCCAGCCAGCTGAAGTGACGCTGAGGTAGGGTTTATGTCCGTGCCGGAGCGAAGCTGCTAGAGCCTTCGAGACTTCGATCGAGAAGCTGCTCTCCGGCTTCGTAGAGGCAGTGCGATATTCCCCTAGATCGCCTGGTTGACCTTCCCAGGCCACTATAGTGGAGCTGCGTGGCGTTGTTGAGCTGTGATCAATCTCTGGCGCCATGGTCGGGGGAGAAACTCCACCCTGTGAGCTGGATGCCTGCTCGCGAAACGGAAGGGGAGCAACTCCTCCTTCCTTGACTCCACTTGACGAGGCTTCGCCAGGCAGCTCGTATCCCAGCGCCGAAAAGGATTCCCGAGCATGTCTCAGTGGTATCTCCAACAAGCCGCTCCACTCTCGGAGGTACTCACCTAAGGTGAGTGTCTCCTTGGTTGATATTTGCAGTAGCAGCGCTCGGATTTTGACTGCATCATAGGAGTATATCAGTTGGTTTGTTTTCTTACCCTTTTTTTGCGATCCAGAGTGCACAGCCTCCACCTCAAACATGGGCCGCACGAATATGTGCCGAGGTCCTATCCTCACCAGACAACTGTAGCCGGCAGCAAGATGCCTGTTTGACATCCTGTGAAGATACACGCCTGGTCGTGCCTCGAAGCTTCGCGTGCCGGAGAGGTCAGGTGTCGAAGGTAGTAGCCTGCCTGTGGCCAGTATCCCATGCAAACATTCCAGGTGTGTACCGTGGAATGCAACCTCGCTGTCCCCTGCAGGAAGAATGTTCGGTGAAGAATACTCAAAACGAAACCACCCATTCTCTTCAGCTGTGGGATATCCAAGCTTAGGATGCAAGGGCTCATTGGCAAGTCCCCGGCGGGAGGCCAAGAAGGTCTCCAGGAGAGCATTGGCTACCTCCGGGGAGGGTCGTTCCACCTGATTGAGACCATCTCGCAGCTGCTGAGTGACTGTCACCATGATTCGGTGATTGTTCAGCTCAGTGATGTTCCCATCACAGTCTGACATCAGTCTGGGAAAGGGGGTATAACCAGCTGACTGAAGAACTTTGATCGCAGCTTCCGTGATGGGGTCCCCAGAGGGAGGATCTCCACTCTTGGCCTTTGCTGCTGGGGGAGTATCTCCACCCTCGCCTTGCCCTGTACTTCTTTTCTTGGAAGGAGGAGGAGGGGGAGTGACTCCACCCTTTCCGCTTCCCTGCTCTTCCTGTCCACCAGTACCTTTAGAGGCTCCTTTATGTGCAGGATAGCTTTCGCCGTGAGCACGAGCGGAGCGCCTCCACTGGCGCAGGAAATTGCGATACGTGACATGCGGAAGTTGTTCACGTACCCGTCGCTGACAGAATTCCTCGTACTCCGCTTGAAACGAGGGATCCTGTGTTGACTCAGGTCTGGACATGGTGCTGAGTCTTGAGAGAAAGCTGCGGTTTTTGGCTCAAGCTGGCTGAAGCTGACTCAAGCTGGCTTCGAAGCAGGCAGCTAGGCCTAGGCCACTGAGCTCCAGGCCACCACGAGGAGACCTGCATCACGGATGGTGGAGTGCTGTTCGGTCAGTGTGTCTCATTGCAGGCAGAATTATTGCAGGCAGCGACTCAAAGCTTTTAAAAACCCCTAGGGAGAGACTCCGCCAGCTGTGCACCCCTCGTTGGGGGAGAAGCTCCACCAAATAGGGGAGAACCTCCACCTATGACTCTTTGGTTCAAAAACCCCTGGGGAGTAACTCCACCAGCTCTACGCCAAACGAGGGAGAAACTCCTCTCTTTGTTACAGGAGCTCCTGCTTAGGGAGCATCTCCTCTTCTCACTTGGCTCAGGAAGTGGCGGCGTTGAGGTGATTGTAAGTTACCTCCCACGTCGCCGAGGCCAGGTTGAGTCTGCCGTCTTCAGCAAAAAAACTGAGACCTCAACGTCTGCACATCAGCTTGGTATGCCTCTTGGTACTCAGCAGGGAGATATTTAGCGATGTATCCCGTGATATGGGATTCGCGTTCCATTGTCTCCAAGTCGTACCGGTGGTAACCGAGGCTTGTTGGGGAAAGCAGGTCTCCAGCATGGATGCGAACCAAAGAGAGGTACTGCATCCCCTGTTCAACCAGGGCTCTTCGTCTTCTGTGTCGGATTTGTCCCCATTCATCGATCCCCGATATGGAGTGGAGGTGTGTGAGCACCTTGCGGATCCCACCTTCCGGGAGTATCTCCACGGCAAGGTTCAGGATCTCATCCTTAGTGATGAGCCCAAGCCCCTTCACTCTCTCTAGCAGCTCTGTGAGCACGGCCCAGGGGAGTATCTCCACACCTTGGGACTTCTGGTGCAGAAAGTGCACCGCTGCGATCGTCGGGAGCAGCATCATGGCCAGTCGAGTTGGCGTCTGATCATACATGGTCGAGGAGGAGAACCACAGTCTGATTAATTAGCTTTTTGAGCCTGAGAGCTTCATCATG